TGCTATTTGCAAATATTTTCATGTTCTAGATTGTGAAAACAATCAATTTCTAAACAAATGAGTAGTGATTATTTCAAATTTGAATAGCATGACCAAATTCTGAGGCTGGTTATGCCACTAATAACTAAAGTCAATGGTGTAATGATTATCTAAGAATGTATGTAGTAATTGTAGAAATAAAGACATTTTGCTAATCATGATTTGAGTGTTCTTTTGTGGGTATCACAGACTTATTTTGGTGCCATACTATCTTTGGAGAGTAAGAAATATTGGAAATTTGTTTTGATAACATGTTGCAGCAATAACAAAGGACCTTTGATAAAGGTATTTGTTTCATGTGAGCACAAACTGTAAATTTTACTCCACTACCTAGTTTATATAAAAATTCAATAAAAATATTTCTATTTATGCTACATGCATGAAACTTCGGGTACTTGTAGATCATAACCGTGTCTTTCAGTCATATTCATAAATTTTTTTGACATATTTGAAATTTGAACCGCTAAATACATTTATGCATAATTGCAACATTTTTTATATCATAATTTATGCAAATTTATGCGAGTAAATCGTTAACCAAGCTCCGGATGAAATTGAAATTGGTATCATTGGAAAGCAGAAGTCCTGCTCTTTCGAACGATGCAATTTCTGTTTCCGTGTGATGTATAGTTTGAGAGATATAAGCGTTTGAAACAACACCACTCGAAATTGCTACTTTTCGACCGGATGAGAATGAGTTAAGATAGAATGATGGCAAAGTCCTAATTGCATATTGTATATCTGGATGGAATTCATAAGCAAATATTCTAATTTATCTAGTAGAAACTAACTTGTGTACTGGTATGCATTTACTTTATATGAATATACAGGAAAAAACCCACAAAGCATAAAACAAAATATGGAAAACTTTTTATTCCCAGTGAAAACTAAGGAAAAACAATTTCACTCTGTGGCATCCAACTTGTTTTTTTCCCTCCGCATGCATGCTCATACAGATTACAGCAATTGGATGACTACTGTATACTACTAGTATGTTTCTAGTGTATACTAGTAGTTACATTAACTGATGTTTACTATTTATATACATGTATTACCTGAAACTGTTTTCGACTGTGCCCAAACTCTCCAACATCAGAACCAGTAAAAGCATGGGATGCAACCATAGTCTCAAAGTGAAGTGCAGCTGATTTGGTCTTAACAACAGTCAAGGCAATTCCGACCAAGTTTTCCATGACAGCAACCCCACGTTTCTTCCTTCTCTTACATTCATGGTCATACTACAGTAAGTGATAATTAATCTTTGTTTCACATACTGAGTAAGTAATCAGCTAGCATATGACTATTATCTGACTTCAATAGTATGATTTCAATTGCCATTTGCTGTATTTTTTCTAAGTACAGAACATAATCTAACCTGCAATACCTCAAAGTGAAATTGGCCCCCAGCCAATGTTACATGATTCTTGACCATGTTTTTGAGCTTGTAAAATTCTCTATTTCCACCTTCCAAAAGCAACTGTGATTTCTCTGAACTAAACACCTAACCCATCGGAAGTGATCCTAAATAACTATTAAAAATGTAACTGTTGAAGTGTTAAAGGAAATAGAACAGTAAGAACATACAATCTGCTTCATGGTATATACAGAGTGTCACAGGGTATATACAGAGTGTCACAGGGTATATACAGAGTGTCACAGGGTATATACAGAGTGTTACCTTTTCACAGTTCTCTAAATTTAACAGTATCAATCTCTTCTTCAATCTCAGAGCTATTACACAATAATCCTGGAACACAAATAATTTTAGAACACACATATACAACAATGGTAATACAGTATAAAAGACCATATATGCAACATACTGTACATTATTTACTACATTGGAAATTTCACTTATTTCTACTGATGATCCAGTCAGATCGGCTGAATGCTATGCAAGTAGAAATATTGTGATATAAAATTAAACAATGGCTTTGACAATTACTGTACCCTGTACTGTTTTCTACTAAAACAAGTAACAGTGCGGTTCTCGAGGCAGTTGACATTGTCGGCGGTACTCATTTGGCAGATAATTTGAATCCTGAAATCATCTTTAAGGAATTGGAACAAAACACACATTATGTCGATACTACTGCTGAAGTTGCAGCTGAATGTAAATCGGTTTGCGACGATGACCATATTGATACAACCAACCTTAACAGTCCTTCATACTTATCTGATTTGGGCTTGTGGCCTACCCTTGTTTCTAAAAATATGAGAGAATACTGGATAGCTAAAGGAAGTAGTGAATGCCAGAATCTGGATGCTGACTTCAGTGCAACGTCTACAAGATTTGAAGGAGAGAAGTATAATCGACAATGCCAGAAAAGTTTATTCACGTTCGCACATTCATGTACAAAACAGCAGTATCCGCGTAACTGGCTTTGTTTTTCACCGTCTATGCTAGCCATCTACTGCTTCCCATGTAAACTGATGACGGACGTTGAATTGTTTGGGAAATTGGGATGCAAAGATTGGAAACGTGCTACCCAAGCAATTTCACGCCATGAAAAAAGCGCCAGACATAGAAATGCTATGGTTCAACTTTTACTGCGCAGCGACGCAGGCAATCGTGTTGATGCTGCATTGGTTCGGCAAGAACAGGAAGAACGTGATTATTGGCGTTCTGTTTTAGAGCGTGTAGCAGAAGACTATCCGCCACCTTGCAGTGCGAGGCTTAGCTTTTCGTGGTACAAATGAGATAATTGGTTCCGTCAACAACGATAACTTCCTTGGTACACTGGAGCTACTGGCCAAATTCGATCCATTTATGGCTCAGCATATCAATCAGAAAGCTAACAAGGGCCAAGGACATACATCATATCTTTCCAATACGGTTTGCAAGGAGTTCATCCATTTAATGGCCAAGCGAGTTCTTCAAAATATTTTAGACGAACTGAAAGCATCCAAGTATTTCCCTGTTTCGGTTGATTCCACACCAGATCTCTCATGTTGACCAACTCACTTACATTGTCCGGTACGTTCTGCCATCGGGTCCTGTGGAACGCTTTGTGGCTTTCCTAGATATGCAGGGCCATACTGGGAAACTGTTGGTGGAAAGTTTACTTGGCTTTTTAACAAGACATGAAGTGAACATTGCTGATTGTCGGGGCCAATCATATGATAATGCCAGCAACATGAGTGGAAAATATA